AATAGTTCGTTAAATAATCTTGATTGTAACTCTTTTCTCTAAAATGTTAAAGGTAAATAAAATTTTATTATTAGTCAATTGGGAAATTACTAACCACTAATTATTACTAACGATATTAATTAATTAATAAATATTAGATTCTAGTAACAATAGTAAAAGAAAAGATGCGATGAATGACTAATTTAATCTCCACTATAAATTTGGTATTTTTTTTTTATTTATCTTTTTTATTTTACCCTTATCTATTATTTATTTCTTATCTTGTAACAATATTTTGAAATAATAAACTTTTTACAATTTTTTTGATTCTTGTTAAATGGTGATATCATTTCGGTTAATTAACAATCATGGGCTACTATTGTCAGTTAATTCACAATAATTTGGTGCTTGTCAATTAATTAGTTTACGAATTTACTTTTGTTCCCTTTTTCTTGAGTCTAGACGAATCTATGAGCACATTTAATGGTACCAGATAACTATAAATAAATAAATATGGTCCTTTTGAAATGCTATAAAGTCCCTTTATTCATTTGTGATCGATTTGTTTCAGTCGTTTACTGACAGATTGCAAACTTGCTTTGATTTACTTGCAAAACAACTTAAGTAGCTTGTTTGACAGCCTTACATTTACAACTACAATAATACTACTTCATCAACATCCACTAGTTAACCAACGCTAGTCCAAACCTTTGTTTACTCACTAAAGCAAATTACGTTACTAATCATTGTTAGCACTCACTAGTTAACCAACATTAGTCCTAACCTTGCTTACTTGTAAATAAACGTGGCTTTTCACAAATGCTCCATAATTGTTACCTTTTACCAAGGCACCAACTACACTTGCTGCTTTCATCAAAGTGCTTTAAACAAAGAAAATAAAGACAATGTTTTTATTTTTATTTTTAAAAGTTTATTAAATAATAATTATCAGAGTTTTATTTTATTAGAATGTTAATTATCTATTTATTTTTCTCTGCGAGGAACTTTTTCAAGAGAAGACCAGAAGTTATCCTTAATGAAATTTTCGTTGATCACTTACAATAAGGATAAAGATAAAGATGGGTCTATTATTGCAAAGTAATTTAATCAATCTTCATGATTATTTACATAGCAATTTGATAATAATTATAAATTTTTCATAATAATTACTGTGTATACTAAAATTAGTTGACCTGGAACGTAAAGTACCGAATTCCTAATCGATGATTTTATCTACTCCGATCATGTATCACATTATTAATAAGCTTCTGTATTCAGCAAAAGAAAAACTTGGCTCCTTGGAACAACCAATGAAACAAAGGAGATTTGTGAGCTTTTATAGTTTATTAGCCTTTAAAGCAATTCACTTGACTTAATGCCAGCGAATTTGACGTAATAGTTTTACAATTACAATTATGGCAGCATTTCGTCAAACAACATTAGTTCGGAGCATCAAAAATAGCATTGGATGTGAAGCACCTTAGCATACTATCATGCATTTATGATCAATTATGCAATTTTTAATAAAATAAACTATTTCATGCATTGATTGATTAGTCTAATAAATTACAAAATCATATATACTGTAAATAGACCCGCTACCCCCTCAAAATGCAAAAAAACGGTGAATTAGTTTTGCTTTTTACGTTGCATTAGAATTTGAGGTCGAGGTACGCAGTGCTGAAATGGTGTTCTATATATGATTTGGCTTTGCACTTTACATTCAAATGCGAGGTGACTATATATTCGTTCGGAGCATCAACATTAGCCAAGTCATGTTTTTATTCGTTGCGTTAAGCAAAAAAATTATTTATTACATGTATAAAGGAAATTGTTCACGAATTTAATAAATTTAATAAAAGATCCTTTGCAAAGAAGAACCCTCATATGAATCAAAAATCATTTATGAATTTCGATTGGATACTCTCTAGCATTTTCTTGCCATCATAAAAGAGGATCTGTTTCTATATCTATTGGTAAGGCAAGATAACGATCTAGTTCTGATACTGTAGATGTTGAAGAGATTTGCACCAGCGCATAAAATTTTCTTGTGAAAATTTCGGAAATGTAAAATGATAATAAATATTTACCGGAAAAATGAAAATTCTACTGAAAAAACTGGCAAATTAGAGTACCTTTTGTGCGCTGATTTGCACCATTCCACCATGTTGAAGTTGAGTGAAATATTGGCGAGTGTCATTTATAGTAGATATTGATATTCTTATAGTAGATGTTATGGAAGAGTGTTGTTGATATGATTCAAAAATAGTTTGAATGTGTGCACAAGCACTTTGTTTTGATTCTTCTGAAAAAAAAGTTCGGGATCTAAAATTACTGAGGTTATTGAAAAACGATCCATGATATTCCAATTTTTTGCTGCTACCTCACATTGTGTGAAATTTTCTTTCCTTAATATTCATATAGATGCTTCTTGATGTCCCAAAATAAAACGAACATCACCAATGGTAGGATGAGATGATGCCGAGAGATGTATAGTGGCCTTTTCTAAAGGCTCAAGTACTATGAGAGTATCCTTAATTATAATCCAGTCATTTGTATTCGGGTAAAGGTCTCTGACAGACTTATGGTCTGCAGAGAGTAAAACTAATGCTGGCTCAAATGTTTTAGCATATAATAAGTTGAGTTCCAACGAGTTTTCACATCCAAAATAGGTTTGAGATAATTAATCACAGAAACCATGAGGTTCATCACAAAGGTGAGTTGAATCTTTAATTTTGATCATTAATTCACGTACTTTATCAATTGAATTACTAACTAAACCAACCCTTGCTTCACACCTAAGTTCAGAACATGTGCCGCACAACGATAATGTGAAAAAGTCTTTGAAAAAAATTCCATTATCAAGTGTATTAGCAATTTCTCTTCCGCACGCCAACATTGCAGATTCATTGTCTGTAGTTAATGCAATAACTTTATCAGCAATGTGGAATTCATTTAAAGCACGCAGAATTTCTTGCGCAATGTTTACTCCTGAGTGCCTATTAGTAAAAGGGATGATATCAAGAAGGAAATTACAGAGACACCAATTCGAATCTACATAATGTATTGTTAATCCCAAAAAGTCCTCATTGCTTATAGAAGTCCACATATCAGCTGTCAACAAAATACCTTCCCTCAATTTGATGAAGTTCATTAATGATTCAATTATCCTGCCTACTGCTTCTTTCTTGTATCTGTAAAGCTTCAGCGAATCTGTATGCACACTTTATGGTACAATTTACAATAAATAAATGTAACCCTTTTATAAAATGTCAAGTGCTTTTCTAAGTTCCTTCTTTATTTAGATTTACTACTTCCTTTGGCCGTTTAAAAGCTTTGTTAATTTAGTCTCTTTACAAGACTCCTTGAATTGCTTATTTAACAACCGCATGTTACAACAATCACTTTAACACAATAGAATAACAATAGGTGATAACAACTTGGTTAATAAATGTCTGCACTTTATATTTGGTTAATCGATAACAACCGTCAACACTTTAACACATTATGTTTACACTTGAACCAAAAACCTTTGCTTCTTACTGAGCAAATGATTTTACTACATTACACTGGTTTAACAAAATACAAAACTTTATAACAAATGGATAATTAAACCTTGCCGTTTAATTTCCGACCATAAAAATGCTTTATTAATAATATTAAACGTAACGAAAATAAATATTTTAACTTGTGAAATGGTTTTTTACAGGATGAAAGAAATAGTTTAATATTTCTGCTTCTACTCTTATGAGCAAGGCTCTGAAATATTAATTAATCATGAATTAATCAACCAATTGCCTTTTCACTTTGAACTTATTGTTGTTATTATTATTATCTATGTTTTTGTGTAGACTCATCAAAAATCACCGGTGATTGATTCTTGCTGCTAATCCACGAAATTATGGCTGTGGACCATCCATTATCCATTATCCATCATTTATTGTTATTACTATCAATCAACGTGTTCATTACGAAATCATTGATGAACATGTAACTACCTACGTAACTGCGTGTTTATCTTTACATCCACTATACGTATTTTTTTATACTACGTGGACTGTTTATTGTCATGTTATCCACACTGCCATATTAGTGCTAACATGTTCCTATCTATACCCATTATTTATCATTATTATTATCAATCAACGTGTTTATTACGAAATCATTGGTGAACATGTCTACGTGTTAATTTTTACACCATACGGATTTTTTACACTGCACGGATGCATTTATTGTCATGTCATCCACACTGCCATATTAGCGTTAACATTCCCATCATTTATTGTTATTACTATCAATTAACGTGTTCATTACAAAATTATTGGTGTTTAATTAATGAGCTGGGTAGTTATTAATTAAGCTCACTTTGCGTTCTCATTCGTAAACTTGTTAATATGTGTGATTGAAAGCTCAAAAGGGATCACCAAATCCAATGAAGTGTAATCCATAATTGGTAGAGATCTACTTAAAGGATATATGTGTATGTTGAGGCGTACGTAGAGTATAATAACTGACAAATTTTTCTTATTTAGTATTAGAAAATTTTTATAAATAAATATATTCTGTCAATTCTATATATATATATATTGTAGGAATTGATAAAATTATTCCTCGTTTTAATACTTCGTAGGTAAGACTTGTATCATAAGCATAATATATGTTAAAATGATATAAATATAAATATAAAGGTGAACTTTAAATAATATTATCTTTTAATTATTAAAGATTTTTTAATAGTATAATATATTAAGTTATCAAAAAAAAAAAAATCAGAATAACTATTAATTTAAAAAATTATTATGAGAAAAGATAAAAGTACTTACAACAAACATGTAACTATATTAATTTAAAATTTATATAGCCATAACCGCCCTTAAGTCCGCTAATTCCTCGTCCTCTTCATCTTCCTCCTCTTCTAAAACTTTGAGATCATAAATAATAATATTATTATTAACGATACAAGTGATTGTTATTGTTATTGTTATTGTTATCATTATTATAAATAACATATTTTTTAGAAATTAAATTTTTGCAAATTTACCAAGTTTTTTTGTTGGTACAGAAGGTGCTGCAAGTGGTAATTCAACTTCAAGCAATTGTTTATCAAGATTTGCTTGTTCCAACTCCTCTAATTCTGCCTCCAATTCTTCCTAAAATAAATAAATAAATGAACAATCAATCAACCAACCAACCAATCAACCAATCAATCCATGGAAACAATTACTAACATCATCCAAAGGAATTCCAAGCATTTGACCAGAAATTGCATTCGAGATCTCATCAGACAAATCCATTTGTTCACGTATTGAATCCATTGTTTCATCAACTTTATTTATATCCCTTGAATAAATAAAAAATGATGTTAATAATTAAAGTTTTAAATTTATTTATTATATCAAGTATAGTAGTTTATTTAATAATAACTCACATAGATCCATGTATTGTTTTCATTGCCTCTGCACCTTTCTCCATAGCTTTCATGGTTTCCAGATTCACATTTGCACTTTCAATGGCCATAACTTGAGTCTCAATTGTAAATTTTGCCCCTGATAATTTTTCCAATTGAGTTTCATATTGTTTTTTCCTTTTCAAGGCCATTAGTGCAGCTATTTTTTAAAAAATAAAATAATAATAATAATATTTTAAATATTATAAAATGTTTATTGATTAATTATAATAATCAATCACATATGTTTTTAAAGATTAAGATATCAAGGTATATATATATATATATATAAACATAATAAGAATAATTCTTAAATATGATATCTTCTTTGTCATGTACTTGTGTTCAAATTCTACTTTAAAATATTCTTTGACTATGTGAAAAAAAAGTAAACTAAGAACAATTCATTATTATATTGCGTTCTTTTAAGTAAACGAAAAAAGCTTATGCATTTCATACCTCTCTTGTTTGTAGTAGCATTTGATCTTGCTGTCTTTAGTTCAGCATCAATTTTACTCTGTAAATGCTTCTCTCGCTTTTCCAGCATTTGTAGAGTGTCTCGAAGATTAACAATAGCATCTTTTGGGGCGTTTTTTGGTTTTTTTTGAGAGTAAAAAAGTTGCATCTCGAATCAAATATTAAAAATATTAGAAATATCACTATATACTCGCTCGAAAATTAGTTTTGGTTTAATTCTTCAATACTTGACGTTGCCTTATTTGGTATTAGTATAGATGGCCAAAATGTTACTAAGCCGCTGATACCCAGGACCCCTGAATACGTCACACTTCTATCGGGTCATTTTTCCCTAATTAGTAGAGTGCAAAAAGTACAAAAAAATTCTGGTTAGTGCGTTTTCTTTTACAACTTAAATAAATAAACTCCCATTTCTTAACCGGTATTTTACAGCAAGTCAATCATACAGCTTCTTTCTCAAGTTACTATTGATGAATTTTAAACTGAGTTTTAATGGTGATGCAAATTAATTATGTATATATAACATAAATTTCTCCAAAAAAAGTATTTTTAAAAAATTGCATGTACCTAGTGATATATTATTAGAAGTATGCGAGACAATTAGAGTTAGGTTTTGATTATCAGAAGAAAAAAGACAATCAACGTGTTAATGTTCCAACTCTATTATAAATAATGACATAATATTAAATCGCCGCAGTTTTGCTTCATGTGTCGACTTTGATTTATGAGTCATTCACTATTTTGTATCAGAGCTCGGTTTGGATGCTCCTCCCCTCCATATAGATCCGAATGGAGCATTTCTGGACACTTTTAAAGTTGACTCTTCGTAATCCGTTTAGCAATTAATGGCTGGCAACGCTTCCAGATACACGTAGTAATGTTTCATCTATATCAAAGAATCCGTAGTCAGATGAGAAAGTTTGCGTCAGGGGCATCCCTGCACCTATTCATCAAATGCTGGTCTCGTGTTCGTGGTTGTGATTGTGATCGTGGTTGTGGTGGCAATGGCGGTGGTTGTAGTTGTTGAAATAAAAAATTAGAGATATTTTTTTGTTTTTTGAGGGAAGACCTGAAAAATTCTGTTTAAAATGTACAAATTTTAATATAATAATAATAACAACTAGTAACTCCCAAAAAAGGAAATAGTATAAACTTTTCAATATTAATATTAATATATAATACTGTAATAGGGTAGTTGTTTATGTATTCCTTATTATTATTATTAATCTTAATGCCAAAAAAAAAACAATAATCTAATTCTATTTAATTATGTTTATTCAAGCACCTTTACTAGTACGCATGATAATCATCCATATTGAATGATCTTTAACTTTATAATATGGGAACTTTTGCATTTCAAGGAATTTACTATTGATTTTGAAACTTTAAAGAAAAATGTCCAAAATTTTAATATGCAAAGCGGGTATGATCTCGATCCAAAAACGTTCCAAGTAAATAGTTGTATAGTGGTGGCAACTCAAAATTGCATTTTTTCACATCATGGTATTGAGATAATCTTAATAATAAAATTTATGGTGTTTTTGGTTAACCATTTTTATAAATATAAGAACCAATTTCACTTTTATAATTGGCTTCTTTATTTCTTTTGGAAAATATCAGGATCTGTAAAATTGGAAAGCCATTATTATAACTCACAAAAATTAAAACTTATTATTACATTTGGAAATTACTTTTGCACAGTCAATCCAATTCGACCAGTGCTTTTATCGCTATAAATTTTAACTGTGCTTTTAAGAACCTTTTGTAGTTCCAGTACCTTCAGTGATTTCCGCATATTTTTTTATTATCTCCTTTTGTTCAGATGTAAAGGCTCTATTAAATTCAAAAAAAATTTTTTTTATAATTATGGTTACATAAAAAAAATAATTTTTTTTTTTTTGAATTTAAGAAATAATTTCCACCAAATTCCTACTACTTACTTTGGTAAATTTACTTTCAAAATGACATATTGATCACCTTGTAAATTGCCAGCTTTTATACCACGATTTTTTAGTACAATACGTTGATCAGGTTGTGAAGCCTCAGGAACTTTTAATTCAACATCACCATCTATTGTAGGCACTATTATATGACCACCTAGAATTGCTCGATAGAATGGTATTGCTTTGTTGATAATAATATTTGGTCCTTGTCTCTTAAATATGTTGTGTGGAGTAATATTTAACCTTACAAATAAATCTCCGGGTGTTCCTTGACCACCATAAGGTGCATCACCTTGTCTAATTAATCTGATTTTTGTACCATCCTCAATACCTATAATTTTGTTGTGACAAATATAAAAACAAATTAACCAATTTGTTAGTTTAATTAATTTTATAAGAAATATTTAATTGAAGAAAAATTAAATATATGTTACCAGCAGGAATATCAACAACAATAGGTCTTCTTTCTTTTACTTGACCATTACCAGAACATGTTGTACATCTATTTCCAGGTAATATTTTTGTACCTTTACCATTACAAGAAGTACAAGCGGCTTGCATATGAAACCCTGATGCTACAGCAATATATTGTGTACCTGATCCTTTACATGTTTTACAAGTTTCAGGTTTTTTGCCACTTCTGGTACCAAATCCATTACACGATTTACAATTAGCTACTCTTTCTACAGCAACGGTTTGTTTAGATCCTTTCACTGATTCCATAAAAGATATATTTAAAGAAATCTTTTGATAACAATACAATTATTAATTTAATTTAATTTAATTTAATTATATATATTGTGATTGATATAAAAATAATGATGCTAAGGAGAAGAAAAGGTACTTCAACATCTGATCCAGTTGCATAAGGTTGTCCAGAACCTGTTCTAACCCTTGGGCCGCCAAATCCATTAAATATACTGCCAAAAAACTCTTCACCAAATCCTGGAAATCCACCAGAAAATCCACTATAATCTGCACCACCTCCAGGAAATCCACCTGCACCTGTTGGACCCCCTTCTTCATTTTGTTATTATTATTGTAATTTTTTTTTAGGTAAAAAAAATAATTTAGTAAACTATATATTAATAAACTTGTAATAGAAGAAATATATAAATATCATTGAATACCTGAATATGCTGCGCCCCATTGATCATATTGTGCACGTTTTTCTTCGTCACATAATACCTAACGATATTAATACGTTAATTTTTTGATATTTGATTGCTTACTGTTTCTTTAAAAATTATAATATCACTATTCTAGTTATTTACATCATAAGCCTCTTGGATTTGTACAAATTTTTCTTTTGCTGCTGGATCTTTATTAGTGTCAGGATGATATTTTTTGGCAAGCTAAGATTCACAAATATTTAAACTAAGTAACCATATACGTGTATATATGTATATGTATATAATAAAATGTATTTAAACATGTGTATATTGATTTAATATAGATATATATAACATACTGTATAATATGCTTTCTTTATATCTGATTGTGATGCATTTTTTTGCACTCCAAGAGTCGCATAAAAATCTTTATTATTCACGACGACTAAATATATATATATACATGTATATGTCATTATTAATTTATTGAATTACATGGAATGATTGAATTATATTAAAAATATTAAAAATAATTTTGTTTACCTGAAGAATGAAAAGTTCTCTTGATCTGTATAATGAAAATACTGAATAACAAATAATTTACTATTTATAATATAATTTATTATTCCCTTACCTTACTATGATTATCATTATTATTATGAATTTTTGAATCTATATAAATGCTTTTAAAATCTAATTTTTTGATATTACTAATATTATGATTATTGTGATTATTGTGTCTACTTGTAAAATAATTACTTTTTATTATTGTTGTTGAAATGCGTTTTTTGAGTATTAAAAAAGTAATTTTTGAAATTATATTTTGTTTTCTTATAGCCATGATATTTTTAAAATAAAAAAAAAAAAAAAATTTTTATTTACTGATGATAATCATAATTAAATTTATCTATCCAATAAAAAAAAACTTTTTTTTTTTACGATCCGCAAATTCAGTTTGAACATTTGATTCAATTCGCTCTTAAATCAAAAACGTTTTTATAAAATTACTTGCATTCTCTGGAAAAAAGTTTCGGTTACCGTAAAACAATTAATTAGACAAAAAACGTATATAATAAAAATAAAAGTAATTTATATCAAAATCGTAGCTAAACTTCAAAACATGCATGCAAAATTTAATGTTTCTGCAATGTCTAGAAAATTTGACAAAGATGTGTTTGAAAAAGATGTTAATATAGCTTGATAAAAAAACCCCCCGAATTTGAAGATCTTACTTATCTTGATTTTGGACAAGATGAGTAGATGAATTTGTTTGACTCGCAACAAATACAAACATTATTTATTCGTGTTTTGTTATCAATTTTTATTTTTTAGAAAAAAAAAAGTCATCAAGAAAAAATAAAAAGCTGACAGAAAAAGTTATTAAAATATGAATAGGTGCAGAATGTGTAATACTGAAAGGCACTTGGTATGTTTTTTATTCAGCATAAAACACACGGAATAAGATTATGTAATCGAGCAAGATTATTTTATTAATCAAAATGATGTAATCATTATTTGTCATTTGCATGTAAATCAAGTTTTGTTTATCGATCATTGAAATTGACCGATAATAATAACAACAACAAAATAAAATGTAAAAAAGTGTTTTTGAATTCCAGGTTCGAAAATATCTAATAATAACACGTTGTGTGATAAGACTTTGACGATCTGGGATCTGTGGTAAAGGTTTCAAGTCAAGGCCATAAGTTTTTGGTCATTTCAAACGGTTCCAAACGTCAAAGATCTAATGGTAGACAACGGTAGACACCACGCAAAAAATTTAAAGCGGAACACAATTTCCTTTCAGTCAAGTATCTGCTTCGCCCAATACTGATTGATGTTTTGCACAAAAATAGATAATTTATCGGTTGCCAAATAGATATAAATGGGAATTCGCATGTTACAACCATTTATCATTTTTGGAAAGCGAAAATATTCATGCCAGCATAGCAAAAAAAGAAAAAACCGATTCATTACAAAGTTTTATGATTTTGATCACATCCTTCCCCAACAATTTAGTTTACTAAAGTTGTTTGCAACAGAATATTCGTGATTCGTCACTATAACTGCACTGGATTTACCGTTTCAAGTCTTTCTTTAAATATAACAGAATGTTTTCTCTGCATTCAAATTTGGGTAAAATTATTAGGGAAACAAAGAAA